CCTGATCCTAATGAGAGATGGTAGCATTGTTTTTTATTCCCTGGGATAATTAGGATGGGTTTTAGTTTTTTGCTATTAGTGACCTTTCTCGTTTTTAAATATGGTAGTGGAACTAAAAAAAATTCCCTCTTGAGACATTCTTAAACCCTGTTGCAGAGAACAAAGTGCTAATTCTGCTTTTTAAAATAAATCTGTACTTGCTCTCTTAATAATGAAATTCATGTCTATGTTGCTTTATGCAGCAAATTCAGCAGAGTTCTTGCTTTAAAACTACAAGATCAGCAGTAAGCAATTACTGTAAGTAAAAAAAGCAAGAATATCCTTCTTGTTTATTCAGCCTCTGTAGCTTTTGCAAGTGGCTTTTATGAACAAATACTCTTCCCACCTGCCAAAGCAGTGAAATTTAAGTCTAATTAAAAGAACGCTTGTAATTTTTAAGTGAAAAACAACGATTTATGGTCATATTGTTATATTTGCCATTTTTCCAAACCGTTTTGCATATTAACAAGCTGCATTATGTGCCACACAAACCCGAAAGTTCATGTTTAAGCAAATAAAAAATTGTACCCATACATATGTGTAATAGGACATTGCTTATCTGTTTCTGCGTGCATATAGGAAGTTTTTATTTACATTATTGGTTTTACCCCACAAACATAGTTTGGGTTATTGTGGGGAAAACAAAAGATGGAGAATTATTTTTGCCATCTATTGTACATATAAAATGAAGGTGGGATAAAAATGAATTAAATAAACCTTGGCTAATAACCAGTGTGAGCAGCTCAGGATTACAGGTAGTCCTCAACTTACAACAACAGGTTAAAGTTACTGTGGCTGGGGGAAAAATTTTATTGACAACTTGTACTCTCACAACCGTTGCAGCATCAATGCAGTCACATGATTGCAGCACCCTTGCAGTCACATGATTGCACATATGTATGATTTATTTCAGCTGGAAAAAAACAACATATTATGGTAGTTTGGGTAGGGGAATGGCTCCATATTGTGATATCACAGTCCCTGGAGTTCAGCTGGATTTTAGGTATGAAATTTTATGTTTTTCTTTGCAAGCAGCAACCCCAAAATTTATATAGCAAGGATTCCTAGGGGGAAAAAAAATCATTTATTTGCCCAAAGATATATCAGATGGGAAGCTGCTTTTAATTTTCTTCTCAGCTTTGTTTTGTTTTGTTTTTTTCTTTTTAACAACTGCTGTAAATATCATAGAGTTCTACAACTGCACATTTACAAATTCCCCTTGCATCTTTCAGCCTCCATGTTTACAGTAAAGAAAGGACAAAATATAAAATGATATATTGCTAAATTTTGTTTAGAAGAAGCCATAATTATCTTTAACATTTATGCTTATTATAATAGCCTGTTTGGAGAAAACTAGTATTTGCTTGGTGTCCACATGAGTAATAAATGCAGTATGGAGAAATTGTTACTAATATACTTGGAGTAGTTCCATCATATGCACACAAAAAGAAATAAAAAGTCATTTCTTTAAAGGTCATTTCTTTATATCAACAATGACTCTGGGCAGTGAACAATAAAAACAAATGTACAAAAATAAAATAGACAGCAGCCGAGAAAACCAACAATCATCCATATAGTCAGGATGGATCTCTTCATGCACTTGGAGCCCTAGGCCTGATCACAGAGCCAGGTCTTTGGGGCCTTAGGAAAGGCCAGCAGTGTCAAGACCATCCCAATCTCTCGAAGGAGAATGTTCCAGAGAAACAGGCACTATTGCAGGGAGAAAAACATCATCTGGCACCCACTAGCCTGCAATCCTAAGCAGGGGTGGGATTCAAATTTTTTAACAACCGGTTATGTGGCCGTGGCTTAGGTGGTGGACATGGCTTGGTAGTAATGTGACTGGCTGGGCGTGGCCAACTCAATATCACTCACATCGAGGCACACATCTCCTCGCCTGGCCTCTCATGACTGTGGGGATGCTGCAACAGTCGTAAGTGTGAAAAGGGGTCATAAGTCACTTTTTTCAGTGCCAATGTAACTTTGAATGGTCACTCCACACAAGCAAAGTACCAGCAAAGGAGGAAAAAAAACTCCAGAGAAGTTCCTGAGACAGGAAGTCTAGTCCTGCCAAGAACGTAATAAGGGGTAACGGAGAGGCTGTTTCTGTAAGCAACACCAGAATGTTTCCTTCCTGCCTTCCTTACAGGATTAGCCCAGTCATTTCCTCTAACAACCGGTTCTCCGAACTGCTTAGAATGTTAACAACCGGTTCTAGCAAATAGGTGCGAACTGGTAGAATCCCACCCCTGATCCTAAGCTAATGGGAGCTGGAGCATAACCCTCCTTCTGGACCAGATAAGACTGGTGGAAACAACAGGGAAGAAATGGTAATGATGTTATTATGCCCTCCAAATTTCAATATAAGGAGGAATATACATTGGACTACCATACACATCTATTCACTGAGTTTCTTTCCTGAGGACATTGCACACGATAACAAATAAACATATTAAAGCTTTAATGGAAAAGTTGGAAATGAGAACCAACATCAGTTCAAGAATGTTTATCAAAATTCTCCAGCAAGACTGTGAACAAGTTCCGTCTCAGCAAGGGTGCAGGTGCTCTTAATGGCCAAACCCTAAATGCAGAGTTATTCTACTTCGCTTCTCCTCAAATTCTGCTATTGATCTATGTTTCAAATGTTTGCTCCATCCACTAGGCCTCACTTCTACAAGACTACGTTTTATAAGACCACTGAAGATGGCGTTATGACTACTGAAATGTTACTACTAATCTTATATGATTCAGTTTTCTATAAGCCCCAGGAGAGAGGTAAGGTCTAGCTTACTATGCAGTTCAGGTGTTTAGGAACTGTTATGTTATGATATCACTGTTTGTCTTCCTCTTTTTCAGCACTTTGGATAATGACTACTGAAGGAAATCAAGCATCAATATGGAACTTGTGGTTGTAGTTTCAATCTGACTAGAGAATAGGGACTTTCTAATTATAACTGCTAGAAACATAATTTTATTTAAAACTTTTGGTTTTCGTTTTGAGAATGGATTCAGTGAACAGATGAGAGAATTGGGGTGGATTATGATTTGCCACAGTGGAATGCACGTAACCCCTGGTATGTCAGTACTACTAGATACATCACTGCTAGACACAATGAAAATCAAGTTCATGTGATATTAAAAAATATCAAGATAAATTATTGCATTAGAATATCTGAACATTTATAGATTTTTTTCATTTTTCACTTAGCATATGGCAATGTTTTTTTTAAAATACAGTTGATCATAGTGCTGGATACATTCCATGATATTTCAAATGCAATTAAAATTAGTTGCCAGTATTTTATTGCTATAAAATTTAATATTATTTCAAAGACCGTGAACTCTGAGATATTATTAATATTGGCCTGGTTTAAACATGCAGTTACCAACATACTGAAGCACTTACAGCAGTAGCCAAAACTGCTAATCTTTGTACTCTGCAGGATTCCTTGCAGTCCTGCAGTAAACTTGCAATAAACACCTTGCATGTGTTTATTCTGGTTAGGTTAAATTGCATTTCTGAATTAAAGCGAACCGCAATCTAAAATCATTTTAATAAACAGAATCTTGTATTATTTCCCAGGCTAATACTTCACTTTGGAAAGCAGTTTATTAATTCATTGCATTCAATTTGTGATTATCTTTTCATTTGCCTTCATTTTTTAAGAGTGCTTGTGGTATACTTCACTGGTTTTATTTTAGTGTTCCATATTCTTATGACAGTATTATAAATATATGAACTTGTTCTATACGTCCGCTATCTCTTTATCCTATTTATACTGATGTATACATATGCATAGTAGGTATTTTGCATAATGTTCCTGTTTAGAAATCTTGGCCCTTATTTATGTGACTTGTGAGAATTACTCATACAAAACTACCTTACAATGAGCAAGGTCATTGGTCTATCTGGACAACAGTTGTCTTAGGGCTCTACAATATCTCTTTGAAAGGGTTTTCATGTCTTAGCCTTGAATAGTTGCTGAAATCCTTTTAAAAGATGAAGACTTCATGAAGTAAGTTTGACATATGGTAATTAAATAGATAAGCATGCATGATTTGCTTGGCAGCAATACAGCTTGCCACTGAATTAGTCTTTCAACTTATATTTATTTATTTACTATAGTTTGGCTCTACCATATTTTCCAAGGAATCATGGCGGTGCACAATTAAAATCAAAACTATCCAAACTCAATCAATCAACATAATAAATCAAAACCAAGAAAAGCATACATCAACAATAGGATGAAAGCAAATATAAAAATGCATCCAAGGATAGCATATCAGTCCCCAGATTATCTTCTGAATAGTTAATCTAGCCTGAGGATTGAACTGGGTTTGTGGTTGCCAATATTTCTTGACTCTAGTAGATAGTATCATCAATGTAGCTTGAAGTTTTGTGACGTATTTGTAATAGATAGTCCTTTGAGCTCAGTCCAGAAGGCACAATCTGAAAATAAGTCCCTCTGTTGGGATGTGAAATAGGGCAATGAATCTGTTTGCAGTAGGAGCACACAAGCCCTCTGATTTTACCTTATACAGCAGGGTTGTCCAATGTGGATTCAACTCCCAGAATTCCCTAACCAGAATGGGAATTGAAGTTCACAAGTCTTAAATTTGCCAACATTGGACACCCCTATTCTAGAGAGTTAAGGTCTACCTATCTTGTTTTGCTGCCTTTCTGGACACTAAGGTCAGCAAGAAAGGCCTCCAAAGTTAACTTTACTTTCCCTCCTGTGAGTTGCATTCAGTTAATAAGCAATAATACTGTTTTTCCTCAAGATGTTCCTCTTTTACCATACCTTTTTATTTCAAATTAGCTAATGTTAACTGTTTCCCCCCCCACAGAGCAACTGTTAGCCTTCTTGATTGTCCTTTGGGCAGAAAGACAGAGTGCTTCTGTTTATATAACCCATAGAATCAGCTGCACATCTATATCCATTGGGTAAATGTTCAAACTCTCAGTTCTTGGGATAAAATGTCAATTTCCTGGAATGAGATGAAAGAGAAGTAGATTGATTTATCTCCACATGATAATCATACACTAGGTCAAAATCTATGGAATAATTCGGTGCTTTTATAAAGATAAAACCATGAAAAAAACAGGGTGACTTACATACCTTGAAGATTAAAGAAAATTTCTTTAATTTTCACTTTGGGATAATGCAATGCTGTAGCAATATTGGGAAATGTTCTTAATTGTGATAGAAAGGAAAGCACAATAATCCATACTGATTTAGGGTTAAATATTGATATTTTATCAGTAATTCCTCTGCAGAAAAAGAGATGGCTGTATTTTTAACTGGCAATGATTTACTTAGCTTTGTGCCTATGCTGTATGTTATTGTATTGAATGTACTTCTTTCTTTTCTCAAAGATTGGGGAACATATTAATTGGGGGGGTGTATCCCTTATGCAGGCATGTTGCATTTGCTTTGATATAACAAAGTAGCTCTCGGAGACACACTGCTCTTTGTTGACAAGGAATCAAGGCAGAGCCAATTTCCCTTAATTGTTCAATTTGCCTTGCAAATCATAGTTTCTGCACATTCACAGAACAGAATATGAATTTACATTCACTGAGTGATGTAAATCTGAACCATTGAATAGATGTTGGACATTTCTCAGAGCCATATCAAACAGGCACTTCACTCAAATCTGTATCATCAAAAAGTGCCATTTATATGTTTGAATACGGTATTAACATTTAAGCTAGTGAGAACCAAAAATAGCCAATATTTTGTTATCTGCTAACTTCAATTTTATGTTGCCGACAGTATTTTGTCAATTCTCTTTTATCCAACTGAAATTTGTTGCTAAACAAAGTGACGTTTCACAACGAATTATCTGAAGGTAAATTAACATCAGTTAAGTAATAGCTTAAGATGCAATTATCAAAGCTTTTTATTCAAGGTTAAGCTTATTGACAATGCTACTAATCTCATGTTTATCCTGAGATTTTGCAAATGGGCTGAGATAAAGTATTAAAAGAAACACATGTATCCATACCTGGGATTTTTGTATTCGTTAATTATTTCATATTCTTCAGCTGGGAGATTTAGCTTAGGCTGTCAAAGGGAAACAAAAGAATATTCTCAGAGAGTTATTTATATTCTACTGATCTGACTGCTTTGCTACTATCACTTATGTCAGGAATGATCTAAATATAACTAACTATGTAAGATTTTAAAGGAAAGCAAAGTCAACTGAGTGATCCTGTAATGAACAATGTCACAAGGCACATTATCTGTGGGACCATATGCCACCCGAATATGTGATAGTGCACAAGAGGTACAAATAATAAACACCGACTTATCATTAAAAAGATATTCCATAACCAGACAAAATAGATCAGAAATGGCCAACATTTTTACAGCCCTGAGAGTACCTCAAGATCCTGAAATTCATTGGTAAATGACAATTTTGAGCAGCAATATTTTCACTAATTTTGAAGAAATTGAGTTACTAATCTTCTCCGTCTACCTCTACATCATCCGTTAGAGGAGAGGAAAATAAATGGTAGCATTGTCCAGTAATGACAGCAATTACTACCACGTCTCCTATGGACATTTCTTTTAAAGAAAACACTTGCAAACAGTTTACAAATGCAGATGATGCTGATAAAAATAAATGCAGTTCAGAGCTGTGTATGTTTCAGTGAAGAATGAATTGTGTATGTAGTATAGGAAAACTCTAAAATGATGTTCAAACATGATAAACATTGACATATTTTCCACTTACTAATTCAGAATGGAACTGTAAAGGACCTAGTCCATCCCGCTAGTCCTTTTTTCTAGATTATCCATCCCAGTTCCTACAACCATTCTTCTTATGTTTTAGTCTCCGGGACCTTAATCATCTTAGTTGCTCTTCTCTGCACTTTTCCAAAAGCCTCAACGTCTTTTTTGTAACTTGACCAAAACTGGATGCAGTATTCCAGGTGTGGTCTTACCAAGGTTTTATAAAGCATTATTAATACTTCATCTGATTTTGATTCTATGCCTCTGTTTATACAATCAAAGATTGTATTAGGTTTTCTGGCTGCTACCACACATTGCTGGCTCTTATTTAAGTGATTGTCCACTATGAGTCCAAGGGCTCTCTCACAGTTACTGTGTTTGACCTAAATGTCAGTTAATCTTTGCTTTTTCCAACCCAACCTTTGTTTTCTCAGCATTAAATTCAATTTTGGAGAGGCGGAGCTGACGTCACGGCGATACAACGGTGGCTTAGTGGGGCTCCGCTAAGCCAGCTGAACTTTTCCTGCCAGGAATCCCCCCAAGGGGGTCAAAAGACACCCCAAAGAGGTGTCAAAGGAAGAGGGGGACACTCTGTGGATTGCGAGGAGGGAAGCAACCCTTTGCAGGTCCAGGGGAAGCCCTCAAATCGGCAGGGAAGAAGACAGCTATTTCTCCAGAACTGGTCAGAACCTGCTGAATACCACCTCTGCTGGACTGGTTTCTTTTTTCTTTAAATGCTAACACTTAAAAATATTGAAACTGATTATGGTGATTTATGCTGGACAGATACTTAAAAAGTTTTACTTTAGACATTTTGGGCAGTTTGAAACTGATTAAGAGACACATCTACTGGTTGGAGAGGATATTGCAACTAAAAGGAAGAAGAATGTTGTGTCTGGGGCATTAGAAAGATGCCTAAGAACCTCAAAACCTAAGAACATCTGCTAACTGTTTATTGAACAATTATTTATTGAACTTGGAGATACAACTAGCAAGTCAATCAGAGGTTTGGGTTTGTTTTGAGAATAAGTGGATGAGTTTTTTTCTTTTTACTCTCTTTTCCTTTTTTGATGTTGGTTTTGGATTATAAATAACAGTGAACTGAGATAACTATATAAAAAGATGAAAGAAGGAAAATTAAAGGAAAAGAAAAGATTTATTGGGAAACTTGGAAGAAGTAAACTAGCTGGTGGAGAACTACAAAGAATGATAAATATTGTGTATCCTGAGGAATGATTTTCAGATTGAAAGAATTGTTTTAATATTGGCTTTTAGGTATTACAGACAATGGAGAGTTTGGGACTTTGGTAGAATATTCACTAAATTTGTGATTTATTACAATAAAACAAAATGCTTCAACTGGAAAAAAAATAAGTACATTTCAAAAAGAATTATTGATGTTTCAAACTATTCATGAAACCATAACGAAAAACCACACAGAGATAAAAGATTTGATATAGTAAAGCTAATTGAATGACAATAGAAATGAACAGGTAACCCTGGAAATTAGGGGAAAAATTAAAAAAAACAGGAAATGATAGAGCTGATAAAGCAAATGAATCAAGAAGACGAGGAGAAGGTAGAGATGACCAAACTGGATGAAATAGACCAAGTAGATTACACATTAATAGATCAAATAATAAAATTGGATAAACCAAAAGATATTTCAGAAGTGAGGACAATGACACTGATGGATGTAGTGAAGATTTGGCAGCGAGAGGCAGAAGTGGAGATACAAGGAATACTTAGAATAAATATGAATGGAGGAACAAAATACCAGGAGAGGAGTATGGAAAGCATGCTAAAAAATCATCAAGAATTGAAATACAAAAGAGAGCAACAGATGATGGTTAAGTATGTAGATGAATAGACCAGAAGTTGAAAGATGATGGTATTATGTATACTTAAATAGTGTTATTATGGTTATTAGTAATGTGTATGAAAATGTTGAATAATTGAATGATGAAGGTTTAAATACATGGTGGAGCAATGACTACAGTGTTAATAATTTTAATTATATTTAGAATGTTACCATAATGATATGAGTTGGAGTAAGGTAATTTATAGAAAATCTAAATGGAGGAATATGGGAAACATTCCAAAGATCAACAAGAATTAAAACACTAAATTGACAAGAGATGGTGGACAGAAATAAATACCTACTGATATAAGATTTGTGTTATTAAGTTCTAGAATAGATGTAGAAATTAGAAAGGGAGGAAATATTATTACATGTATTGGATAGATTGACATTTAAGATAAAAGAAAAGGAAGAAACAGAATACTTTTTAATATTGGATTTATTTTACTAATGGTTAATCAATAGGAACAGAGGTTAGAAATTAAACAGAATTCATAAAAATTTGTATTGAAATAACTAACTAAATTGCCCAGACAAGACACTGTTCAAACAGATATGGAATTTTGTATGTTTATAAAAGAAAAATGTATCAATAAAACATATATTTTTTTTAAAAAATGCAGTTTTGTTGGATAGGGCCCATTTTTCAAGTCTATCAAGATCCTTTTGGATCCTGAGTTTCTCTTCTCGGGTGTTGGCTGTTCCTGCCAGCTTAGTATCATCTGCAATTTTGATGAATTCCCCTTCTATTCCCTCATCTAAGTCATTTTTGAAAATATTGAAGAGTACCGAGTATATGTAGCACCATTAAGCACTACTCATTGAGTACAGCTTATCAGCCAGTTACAAATCCATCTGGTGGTGATGGTGTCTATCCCATATTTTTCTAGCTTACCAAGAAGTAGATTGTGGTTTACTTTGTCAAATGCCTTACTAAAATCCAAGTATACTATGTTCACAGCACTTCACTGGTCTACTAATTTAATCATTTTGTCAAGTAAATAAGATTGGTTTGGCATTATCTGCTTTTAACAAATCTGTGCTGGCTTCTAGTTATAACTTTATATAACAGATCTGGTTTTTTAATTATCTTTTCCAGTATCTTTTCAGGTCAAATTTCCAGAAAAATTTCCAGTCAAAAATTGGCAAATTCTGTCATATTTTCACAAAACCTGTTATCCCCCTTGGGTCCATTATGTTGTCCTCATCTTGACCCTAGCCCATGAAAGACTCGATCTTAACTCACCATTAGACACAAAAGTCATGCTTTCTCTTCATGCCCTCACATTAGACCTACAACATATATACAGTGTGTAACGTTTTGCCACCAATTAATGTGGAGTTGAGGTCAGGTGATCCAAGGTGTTTTCTTTTGATCGTTGGGAAGCACAGGGAGGACTCGTTCCTCAGTATATATGTGGATGTAGGTCAATTGTCGTCCACAGTAGTCTGTGGAGATTCTCAGTCATCCAGGTCGTGGTGGTCCCAAAGGTGCTTTTTCAGGAAGTGACTGGCCTTTTTTTGTTTTTTGTTTTGAAGACGTTTCACTTCTCATCCAAGAAGCTTCTTCCGCTCTGATAGTGAAGAATGGAATGGAAGGATTTATATTCCTTGCCACAACCCTCTAAAAAGTATGTAAATGACCAGCTGTCTGCGAGGAATATAACTCCTTCCATTCCCCACTATCCTGTCAGAGCTAAAGAAGGTTCTTGGATGAGAAGCCAAACATATTCAGAGAGAAAAAAAAGTCCAGTTTCCTCCTGAAAAAGCACCTTTGGGACGATGTAGGTCAGTATGTATGTGTTTATTTTATTACCCACAGTGACACCAACCGTGTCAAAAGTAGTGGAGGACAGATCCCTGTTATTTGGGGAGGAGGGAAACGATGAAGAGGATGTTTGTGCTAATCCACCAAACAGCTGTCATGCTTGATTCAGCCTAATGACTATAGAGTTAGGTTTCTCATGCTCTCCAGAGCCTTATTTTGGAATTCACTTACTCAGCAGTAAATGCCTGGACATGACTTCACTAATTTAGATGCCTTGTGGCTGATCAAAAACAAAGCCAATTATGAAAGGAGATCTGTCTACTGTAGTAAACAGCAGTTAGAGCTCATATATCCGTCAGTCAGTACGGTGGATGATTCCCTCACCTACCTTTCCTGTGTGTGGATATTTGGCTATTTCCTTCAAATTCCCTTTATCCTTAGTTGCAGTAACCCTCCTCTTCTTTATTGCAGCGTCCAGAGATTAATAAGAGAAGCTGAACTGTATTTTTAAGTTTCAACCAGTCCCTACTTTCCCATTAGGGAGACAATTGCCTAACAATTACTGGATTTTGTTTATCCTGTTCTACAGAATTAACTAGCCGCACAATTATAGCAAAACTTGCCTTCCTCTTCTCTGATGCTTTTCCTGCCCTTGTGCCTTCCTGTGTATTTCTTTTTTTTTAAAGCATATTTTATCTTAGGATGCCCAAATGGGATCTGACAGGGGGGTTGGAGAAAGAGGAACGTAGAGGTCAGCCAAGACAAAATAGCAAGAATCCTGCAGTGAGATTGACCCTATTTTTTGCTGCAGGATCTTGATTGATGGACTATGCTGAAAAGGAACTGCAGCAAAGCCAACGAGAAAACTGCAATCTCGTCTTTAATTGATTGACACAAAATAATACTGTTTAGCCCTGACTTTTAAGCAGATGCAACAGAAGCAAGACAGGGACTGTGAAACCAGCAGCGTAATTTATGTCAACGTAGTTTTGTGCTGAGTTAAGAGATGGGTGGACAATATTTTAACTTGGTAGTGGGGAAAATTAGTAGTACGTAACGTCCATCCATTTGACTTCTTTCCTTCCTTAAATATTACTTAATGGCTATTCTAGAGATCTTTCAGATTTTCTCAAAATCTGTTCAAGTCTGACTTCCCTTCCTTTGCAGCAGAATTTGAATGTGCAAAGGGTGCTGCAGGGTTTGTGTGTGTGAGGAAAAGGAGCAAAGTGAGACCATGTCCTTCTGTTTACGAAGGAATCGTCACTATACTGGATTGGTATTTTGAATTTTTGATTTTAAATTTCAGTACATTATGTTGATCGTAGCTAAGATGGTATAAATGTTTATATTCTCTATTATGTTTTCTGGCACATATTTTCTTCAGAAAAATGTCACTGCACAAGCTAGACATCAAGTAACACATTCTTTGCTTAGTAATGCACTATGAATACTTAGCATGTAAAACCACTAGAGCTAGCTGCATCACCACGGTTGCAAAGAAAGTATTCTGAAGTAACATTTTGCTAGTTACCATTATCTTCTTGCTCTGGGGAAGGGCAGTTTGTGAGCCAAACTCTTTGGTTCTCCAGCCAATTTCTCCTACAAAGCAATGCCTGTGCATCCACGGAGGAGGATTACTTGGTGAATATCTCCACAAATACTTGGCATCACTAGTGCCCTCCACGGGTGGAGATTTTGATCCTATGTAATGGCAATAATCCAGTTCCTTTGGTTGGTAATTACCAATGCCATCTGGACCTTGAGGAAAAAAAGGTATACAATTATTTGGAAGCCAAAGTTCTGTTTAAAACATGCATTAATCTATGTATTTATGCATTAAACATGTATTTATATTAAACAGACTTTAAAAAAATAGTTTTAATTGGTATAATATGCTTATTTTTTTTCATTCTCCTTTTTATACTGATGCAATCTGAATTATTATCTGGTTATAGCGCAGGTGTCAAATTCGCCACATCATGTTGCAATCATGTGACGTATCACGATGTTTTTTTTCCCTTTGTGGAGCTGGGATGGGCGTAAGGCATCCAGCCCACCAGCCGCCAGTTTGACATCCCTGGGTTATAGCAATAACAGTACATAATTATGTACTGCTTCATAGTGTTTTACAGTCCTCTGTAAGCAGTTTACAGAATCAGCCTATTGCCCCCAGCAATCTGGGTCCTCAATTTTACATATCTCAGAAGCTGAGTCAACCTTGAGCCTGCCAGGATTGAACTACCGAACTGCTGGCAGTTGGCAATTAGCAGAATTAGCCTGAGTTACTACTGCATTCTAACCACTGTGCCACTGCAACTCTTATGTTGATTATTACCTTTAAATGTCAGGTGCAAGAGGTCAGGAGCCAGGATAGAATGCAAAAGTACTTACTACAGTGTATTTCATTCCACCTGTACACAAGAATCTGAACTACTAAGAGTCAAGGTAAATTGGCAGCAGATAAGAGTCAATGGACTTAAAGTGGGGCCTAGATTTAGCTCTTTTATAGGGGCAGAGAGACTACAACTGATGATGTGCTTGATCCCACCTTCGGGCTCAGTTTGGTCATCTCCTACTTTAAATTTCTTAAGGAATTTGCGACTGATAACAATGACCCTTCCCAACTCACCCAAACATTTAATAATACATTGTTGTCAAGAAGAAAGACCAAAAAAAAGCCTGCATAGTAGTTATGGCAGAACCTGAAGGCAGCATGATAGAAGGGAAAGAACCGGAAAAGATAACAAAATACAAAGACCAGCAAATATAAACGACAACTGTGGTGAAGGGAAATATAATATCTTAGTTGCAATTCCAAGTCAAGTTCCTGTGCATTATTTGGACTCTACAAGATTGAAGGTTAGGTTTCTGTGCTTAAACACGGCTAAGCTCTGGAATTCTCCTACACTGTACAGCCCACAGTTCATCTTTATATGGGATCAGCTTGGTTTTTTTGTTATTATTCTGAACTAAAATTAATATATTGCAGGTAGGGATGGGAAACTTTGGCCTAATGCATTCCATTATTTTGTATTAAGTCCTGGCATTTAAGGGACTTCACCACCATCACCACTCTAGAAAATAGTGGTGAGAATACAGTGGGAATGAATTCTTTTGGTGCACAAGCAGTTGTAGTGTCATGGGAGGGCAGACATTATTAGTTACTTGATTTATTGTTGGTGTGTTTTTATAGTCAGACAGAAAAGAGGAATTTGTGTGTGACTGTGCGTGTGTGTGTGTGTGTGTTTGCCTTATACGATTAGTTTTATATGCCATGTATCTTGATCTAATTTGACCTGAAGGTCGGGGCAGCCCAATATCAGTAGCAGGAATTCTTAAAGCCAGCAAATATCCCAAACATCTTCCAACATGTTTCCCAAGGCCAGTGTTTCATCCTTCCTGCTTTTAAGATATATTCCCTAATAAAAGATGCAGGCATCTGCTTTCTTGTGCTATTTTCTCTAAGGATTTCTGTTGGTCATAGCCAGAGTTTCAGCATTTATCAGTATCCCGTCAGTCTTTTTCTAGCAATAATGTTAAGATTATGATTAATGAACTATGTATTTGATGTAAGATGTACAGTTGCCATTTTGTAGGAATATGCATTATCTATCTATCTATCTATCTATCTATCTATCTATCATCTATCTATCTATCTATCATATCTACCTACCTACCTATCTATCTATCTACCTACCTACCTATCATATCTATCTATCTATCTATCTATCTATCTATCTATCTATCTATCTATCTATCTATCTATCTATCTATCTATCATATCTACCTACCTACCTATCTATCTACCTACCTACCTATCATATCTATCTATCTATCTATCTATCTATCTATCTATCTATCTATCTATCTATCTATCTATTATATCTACCTACCTACCTACCTACCTATCATATCTATCTATCTATCTATCTATCTATCTATCTATCTATCTATCTATCTATCTATCTATCATATCTACCTACCTACCTACCTACCTACCTATCTACCTACCTACCTATCATATCTATCTATCTATCTATCTATCTATCTATCTATCTATCTATCTATCTATCTATCATCTATTTATCTATCTTTCATAATAAAAATAGGCAACTATCTGTCTAGAGCTATCATCCAGATGATCACTGGAAGACAGAAAACAGATACATAAAACTCAGATCCTTTGCTGCCAAGTCCTGCAGTTTTGTCCAGATTTTTACAACCCAGATAAGCTAGCCTGTTTGACATTTGCCAGGTATTCTTGGCTGCTTGTTGTCTGAAAAATGGGCAAGATTTGAGACTAAATGCTTTCTTCCTTTTGATGACAATTACATGAATGAAAGAGATTAGCCTCAGATCTAAAGCTAGAATTTGATTAATACTTTTAAGGTATAAGTCCATTTTATGTCAACAGGAGCAGGAGTTTTTCCAAATTTGTTTTAAATAAGCTACAGTGGGAGAAATTAGGAACACCTCTGGGATAAAATACTGAATGGAGATGTAGACAGTAGAGCTGAATTTTGGAGCACAATATTCTTGCATCTCAGAGGGCAGAGCACAAGTTGACGGGATGCTAACATCAGCATTTTTAGTGACCACAAAGGATGCAGGAATGCTGCACAAATACTTGAGAAAAGTCAGGGGAATGCAGAAGTGAAGATGTGTCACTTGGGAACCCAGAAGAATTGGAGAACAGAAATCTGAAAGGGGAAATGGACATTTCATCCCCCAAGTAAAACGAATACACTGCACTATAGCTCATTGATTAAATACATTATTTATACCTCCTGTATACAGAATATATGCAGGATACTTCACTTAAATCATTAGTGAAGAGGCAATGAAGAACAAGGTACATTATAAGCGGCTGTTTAAGCCATCAAAAGGTTTTCTTTTAAATAGCATTTGAAAATTGAAATAAGAAAAATATCTGAAAAGGGGGATTGTTATTATACTGAAGTGAAGAGCAACAATAGTTTTAGAAACCAATGTATGCTTGCAGATACTGCTTGTCTCTGTTTGGGACAGCAGTTTCCTTCTCTGCAACCACAGAATCAGACTTTGGACGCTGCAAAAGGAAAATATACAAAAGATGGCATAATAAAGACATATACTGTCCCCCTCACTCTATCCAGAGTGACAGAATACCTATACCTTCAACATTTTAAAAAAGGAAATAACAGGCCTTTGTCATAAGAATAACATCATGCAAGGATTTCATCCACACACACACCCCAAAAAGGTTTAAATGGCAAATATTTTCTCATGATTTAATTTTAAGTCCAAAACTTCAAAACGTTTTCATCGTTTAGAACTACGGAATGTTTCCTGAGAAGCAGTTTAAAAAAAATATTAAAGAGCATTTCTTATAAGAGCAATCGCAATATCACGTAGACTTACATATCACTTACAATGCTTTGCAACCCTCTCAAAACGGTTTACAGAGTCAGCCTCTTGCCCCCAACAATCTGGGTCTTCATTTTACCGACCTTGGAAGGACGGAAGGCTGAGTCAACCTTGAGCCAGTTGGGATTTGAACTGCTGGCATTCTAAACACCGCCGAACTGCAGCCAGCAGAAGTAGCCTGCAATACTACATTCTAACCACCGCGCCACCAAGAATGATAATTCTTATCATTCCAATTGCTTCCTTTTATTTTGGCAATACTGCTTTTTTAAAATGTTGTTTTGTTTATTGCCGTAGCAGCATGACATTGTTTTAAAAGCATTCTCCATGGGCGTTTGCTGTTGCTTCTGAAAATCCTCACAACTTTTACCCTTCCTCTATTTGATTGTCCCTACTATCACCAAATATTGTGACAATACTTCATATCTGACAATACTGCACCTTTCCCAAAGCTCTGGTAATACACCCAGGCTCCGTCTTGTATATTCACACCCTCTACATGGAATCTAGTGTGCTGAGACATGGATGTAAATTGCATGGCTGTCGATGTAAATTCCTCTCCCAGGTGCTGTAAGGTGCTGTAATTTTCTTTTCTTTGTGCTGTTTCAGCTGTACAATTAATAAATGGATACTTACGGAGTTAGATGCAGTTGTGTTATGTAATTCCATACATGAGGTTTCAACTGAACATCACATTTCTTTCTCTGAGCCATCTGTTTTAATGAAAGGCAATGTTTTGATCTACTTAGAATTAATTTCTTTAAGACAGCAATGGGGTGGAAATGATTACCTGTATATATTATTCTTTTCCCTTTATCTGTTAGTGGGGAGGCAGAAAACAAACTCTCTCTTTTTGCCATATCCCTGGCAGCCTGGCCACAGACTTCAGTGTCACTAGTTCTTGGCAGGGCTCACCCTTGTTCTGGGGAAGGTGGCAGCTGATGCCTCCACCTGTCTTGTTAGACAATACAGACTGGAAGCCAAGCAGCTCTGGCAGAGACCGGCTCTTAGGGGGCATTTTCTGCCTTGTGACATACTGTCCTTGTGAGCCAGTCGGCCAATAGAACTCCTTCCTTGGCTTCTTCCAGCTGTGTCACAGCAAAGGATCTAAACTCTAGAACATTTTCATGCCTCTGGAGCTCTTCCGTTTCTTTTAAAGCTATCATATTAATTCGTGGTGAAATAACTAATGGAAAGAGGCCTCCGCGTTTGTTCATCCCAACAGCGGCTCTGAGAGTAACAACAAGAAAATGTGATCTTTTGTACTCTCCTTTATGAGATTTTTATCTTGCTTTTATCAGCCCATGGACATCTCTTGTGAGAATAAAACACTTTTCTCAAAATGAGTCATTATCTGGCTTCAGGCATTGTATTGAGCTTTGATGTGGATTGAGAGGTTTTCACCTAGCATCAGGGGTGGGATTCTACCAGTTTGCACCTATTCGCTAGAACCGGTTGTTAATATTCCAAGCAGTTTGGAGAACCGGTTGTTAGAAGAAATTACTGGGCTAATCCTGTAAGGAAGTCAGGAAGGAAACATTCTGGTGTTGCTTACAGAAACTGCCTCTCCTTTAACCCTTATTACATTCTTGGCAGGACTAGACTTCCTGTCTCAGGAACCTCTCTGGAGTTTTTTTGCCCTCCTTTGCTTGTACTTTGCTTGTGTGGAGTGACCATTCAAGGTTACAATGGCACTGAAAAAAGTGACTTATGACCATTTTTCACGCTTACGACTGTTGCAGCATCCCCACAGTCATGAGAGGCCAAGTGAGGAGATGCGTGCCTCAATGTGAGTGATATTGAGTTGACCACGCCCAGCCAATAACATGACCATCAAGCCATGTCCACCCAGTCACATGACCACCAAGACATGCCTACCACCTAAGCCACACCCACAGAAAATTTTTGAATCCCACCCCTGCCTAGCATGATCATATGAATTTAATCTAATCTAATAATATTTTGAAATTTTCAAGTATCCCTACCTCCTCAAAAAGTAGCAACCCTTTGTTTAGTCTAACTGATACAGTTACATTTCACATTAAACATACAATGTATGATTTATTTGTACTTTTGCACCAGTGGTGGGATCCTTTACTACCGGCTCTGTGGGTGTGGCTTGGTGGGCGTGGCAGGATACTGTAAAATCTCCAGTCGAAGGTGGTGGTATTTGCTGGTTCTCCAAGCTCTTAAATTTTCCACTACCGGTTCTCCAGAACTTTATTTCTTTTTATTTATTTTATTTTATTGGGTTTGTCAATTGCTTACGAGATAATAGGTATAAGTAAAAACATAGTTATGAATACATGGATACATATACGAAAAATAAAAGAAACGATAGGACAGGGACGGGAGGCACGTTGGTGCGCTTATGCACGCCCCCTACAGACCTCTTAGGAAAGGGGTGAGGTCAGTAGTAGAACTGGTCAGAACCAGTAGTAGAACTGGTCAGATGGTCATACCACCTCTGTTTTGCACGATGCATTTTATTTTTCCTTTGGCCAAGTACAGAACTCGAATCCACTTTTCAACACTCCCTCGAAAGAGACAGTCTTATGATTTGAAGCTATGAAGAGCCTGTCGCTTTTAGGATTGTAGCAGTTACTTCCTAATCAAGGTGTCTTCCAGGATCTGCATTTAGGATATTGGCTAAAATATGCATTCTGGCGTGCTTAGCTGTGCTGCCTTCTGCTGTGATCAGCTGATTTCAACAGGAATAGATTACTGCAAATGAGAACGACCTTTCTTTTTCAACAAGGTCATGCAAGTGTTGTATAAAGTGGCGATGTTCTTGGCAGAACTGTAGGTCTGTAAAATGAATTTGATTTTCTTTTAATCACAACCTCTTTGGAACATAATGTAGCCAATTTCATAGCCATAATGGACAAAAGGTTACTTGAATACATCTGAAATGCGTCCATTCCGGGTTGGTGAAAATTGTATTTGATTAGATTCATAGTTTCAAGAAGCTCAGGAGGAGAAATGTGTATTAACTGAAACATATATAGGCAGATTGTGCACAGAAGCAGAGAAAATGCCAGAAACACGGCATTGGGAAAAAGACACTGGATTCAGGGAAGTTGCTTAGGAAGAAGGTTTACCAATGAACAGGATCACGTGCCTTGGAGATCTTGGGTGAAAAAAAGGAAAGAGATCCTGAGTTTTATGCCTTCTCTGGGCTTTGAACTTCCTGGGGCACAGGAAGAGTATCCTGATTGGTTGCTGTCAGAAATCATAGCTAGCTTTGTAGGATGTCTTGTGTGCTAAGTTTGGTTGAATCATGCTGGGTGATGCAATGAAGGGCAAGTAAAGACTGCGTGAAGGAGGTAGAGCTTTGTTATGTAGAATAGACTGGCCCAGGCCTTAATGGCCTATTAACAAAGGGGGGCAGGGTGAGTTTCTGCCTCTCTTTTAGGAGAAATATTCTGCCCTTTTAATATTTCCTAAAATATTTCCTTTTTCTAGGAAAAGGGTGGTTTTTAACTTCCTACAAGCATATACTCAGTTAATGCAAGAAGATTATACAAACTGATTATAAACAATGACATAACACAGTCACCAAAATGATCCACTGGGACATCTTAAAAATTATCATATTCTGCTTGTAGAAATGACTAGTTTATATTACTATGAAAAAGCAAAAAGTTGTGGTTTGCTGCAAGTTTGCTGCAACAGAGGAAGTCGAAAGTCAATGCTTTTTTTTCCTTTTTCCCAACCTTTCCTCACTTCTCTTCCCTCCCTCCTCTCTCCCACTGCTTTCCTATTTACTTTTGTATTTTGTATCTCATCTTATAATCTAATAAAAAAGTTTAAAACTCGAAAAATTAAGTAACTTAAAGAAATTGGCGGAATTATATCGTTGAAAAATAATTGAAAACCAGCAGGTTAAAGTATTGTGGGTTTTGGAATACAAACAGATGAAGAGTTATATGACAAAACTATGACAAACACGCCAGATTTAATTGTGTCTGAAAATAAGACAGTATGAATAATTGATGGGGCAATACCTGGAGATAATAGAATAAAAGGCAAATAATTGTAGACGATCATAATGTTTCGGGACTGAAGTTGAAAGATGAAAGCATTTGTCATGGTCCAGTGGTTATTGGACCACTGGGTGCCATACCAAAAAAAGGCTAGGATTTTTAAAATATCTGCACAGTGACAGAAGTACCACTTGTCCATTGCAAAAGGCCATACAAAAGGCTTGGATTCAGCCGTATACTATGCCGATGCATTAGGATGTCCTAAATTCTTGGGAACTTGATGCAAATGGAGGCCAACACCAGTTAAAGAACTGGAAGCTGTGGTTTCACATGTTTTTATATACAAAAATAATAATAGCGAGAAGTGGGTGGGACTGCAAAATAGATAAAGTCACAGAAAATGAAGAATCTTCTGGGGCTTTAGAATTCAGATAGACAAATACCTGCCACACAACACTCCAGACTTAATAATTGTTAAGAAGACAAAAAAAAGACTGGATAGCAAAGGCTGTAGTTCCCAGAGGGGATGGGATGGGATGGAAGGAAGAAAGAGAAGGGGAGGAGAGGAGCGGGAAGAGAAGGCCACAAAAGTCAAAGATCTGCAAATAGAATGACTGCAGCAAAGGAAAGAAAGCACTACTAATAGCAATAGGCACTTTGGGTACAATCCAAAAACATCTACAGTGTCACTTGAATGCCATTGGCTTTGTCAAAATCACCACCAGTCAATTGTAAAGGGCAGTTTCACTTGGAAGAGCCTTCATTCGGCAGCAATACCTTTTTAACACTGTCAGACAACAGGATCTGCCTATCCAAAGTCCTTGGGAAGGACTTGATAAGGGGATAACAATCCAGTTTAAAAATCTGGCTAACTATACGACCAGCAATCATAATATATTAAATTTATATGCCACTTGAATCGCAGAGAGAGAGTCTAAGCAGTTTACAATGGTTAAAATATGGAAAAAAATAAAAGAATATTACAGATTACTGACGTATACTTGGTGGGTGGTCTCAGGGCTTTCTCCTCTTCTCCCCTGCTGTTAAACTGATCTGTCAGTTTGGGATGAAATATGGATGGGATGGCATTGCCCCAGACAGATCTAAGGTGCTTTCTAGGGGTCCTCCTAGACTCATGGCTCCTGATCCAAGAGTAGGTAGCGACTGTAATTAGGAAAGCCTTTGTACAGCTCCAGCCAGTGTGCCAATTTCACCTATTCCGGGACCAGGAGGCCCTACCTATCGTCATGCAAACCTTTTGTTACCACTCATTTAGATTACTGCAATGCGATCTACACAGAGCTGCCCTTGAAGAGTATTTGGAAACTTCAAATGATGCAGAATGCAGCCCCAGGGGTTGCAACTGGCGATAGATACGTGGCGCCTGTAAAATCACTATTCCTTGAGCTGCATCGGTTACTGGTGTGTTTTCCTGGGGGGAATTCAAAGTGCTGATTGTCACCTTTGAAGCCCTACATAGCTTGGGACCAGGCTACCTGTGGGATCATCCCTACCCTGCAGATGATCCAGCAGATTGGATGTCCTGCAGATCCCATCAGCCAGAGTATCGACTGGGAGGTGTAGAAGTTGGCCCTCCTCTGTGTATCCCCTGCTTTATGGAACATTCTCCATAGAGGTTAGAATGACCTGGAGCTTTGAGCTTGTTAAGGGTCCTGTTTCTTGGTTTTACTGTTAGTTGGTTCGCTAGCTTGGCTGCCACATGTATTTAGTTTTGGAAGTTTTATTGTTTCTGTTTGTCTCAACTGTTTTATAGTTTTAGAATTGTAAGCCACCCAGAGTCACTTGGCTGAAACAGGTGGCTATAGAAATTGAATAAATACATTCTGTAAACAGCACAAGACAAAGGGACAACG